AGTATTTTATCATACCTTAGATTAAGTAATTGTCATCATTTTCATTCTCAAAAAGCCTTCAGGAAAAGCAATAGTTTGTTTTGATGTGGTCCTAAATTCAGCTCAAGTAAGGAAGTTAGGATCACAGCTCTTTCAGAAGTAACATTTTAGAAAGCTTAATCTCATAGGATATTTCCTTATTACTGATGATTTATTGCGTGTACACTAATCCTAGTAATGACTTATTACTATTTGTACTAAAAAATGCAAAGATATACCAAATCAAACACAGTTTAGGGCCAGCCCGTGGCTCACTCGGGATAGAGTGCGGTGCTGATAACACCAAGGCCACGGGTTCGGATCCCATATAGGGATGGCCGGTTTGCTCACTGGGTGAGCATGGTGCTGACAACACCAAGTCAAGGGTTAAGATCCTCTTACTGGTCATCTTTAAAAAAAAACAAAAAAAACAAAACAGTTTATTCTCCCGTGGAACTCATATTTGAAGATGTTATGTTCAATTAATCTATAAATGAAAAATTTTAAGAAAGTGTGCTCATTCTCTGTGGTCCAGTTTCTTCAACAAGTAAACGGTAAGAAGAATAGAGAGACAGAAACATCTTAATCAAATAAAATGTGTGCACCTCGTTTGGATCCTGATTTGAAACAATCATAGAGAAACATGTATGAGACAATCAGAATCTGAACACTGACTGGATATTTGAAGATATTAAGGCATTATTTGCTTTTAAATATAATCATATTGTGCTTTTTAAAAAAGCCTCTTTATAGCTACGTAATAAATTGTTTATAAATGGAATATCATATACACAAATAATAATACATATATGCAAATCCTAGACGTGATATCTAGGATTTGTGTATATGTATTTTTTTTTCGAAGGGAGAGGAGTGAGGGGGTACCAATGAAACAAGATTGGCTACATGTTAATAACTATAGGAGATGAGTGAATGATACACCAAGGTTCATTATAATAATAACCCTTGTACTTTTATATGTTTTAAAATTTCCATAAAATTAAATACCATTTTTTTATTTTTTATTTTTAAAGATGACTGATGAGGGGATCCTAACCCTTGACTTGGTGTTGTCAACACCAGGCTCTCCCAAGTGAGCCAACTGGCCATCCATATATAGTGATCTGAACCCGTGGCCTTAGTGTTATCAGCACCACACTCTCCCAAGTGAGCCATGGGCCGGCCCCTTAAATACCATTTGATGATGCAAAAACAAAAGTCCTAACTTCCTTAGCCCAGTGATCACACTTAGCATCACTAATAACGGGACAACCAGACATCATGTTCTCCTGATGTGATGCAATGAGAAGTGGGGAGCATCACCTATAAAATATTGTCAAAAATACTCAACTTTGATCTAATCAGGTCTTTAGATCTAACTTTACATTTATCGGTAATAGAACAAATTAAGTAATACCATGAGTAAACAATTAGACAAATACAGAATGTCAGACATTCAAAAAGGCTCTTCAGAAAATAAATCATTAATAAATACTAATACCACTACTAATAAAGGGTATGTGTGTGGGTGTACTGTATTTGTGCCAAAGTTCCCCCTCCAACCCCAATGGCAGTATGGTTAAGCCAATGAACTCTTTTTTTTTTTTTTTTTTAAAGATGACCGGTAAGGGGATCTTAACCCTTGACTTGGTGTTGTCAGCACCACGCTCAGCCAGTGAGCGAACCGGCCATCCCTATGTGGGATCCGAACCCGGGGCCTTGGTGTTATTAGCACTGCACTCTCCCGAGTGAGCCACGGGCCGGCCCCAATGAACTCTTTTCTCAGAATATTTTTATTTATTTTTTATTTTTTATTTATTTATTTTTTTAAAAAGATGACCGGTAAGGGGATCTCAACCCTTGGCTTGGTGTTGTCAGCACCACGCTCAGCCAGTGAGCAAACCGGCCATCCCTATATAGGATCCGAACCCATGGCCTTGGTGTTATCAGCACCACACTCTCCCGAGTGAGCCATGGGCCGGCCCTCTCAGAATATTTTTAAATGCATAAAATAAAAAGCATAAGATTATAAAGGAAAACAATTATATTGAAATACAGTTACCAAAATATTTGAAAATATGATCTGGTAATGTATGTGCTTCATTATTAATGCATTAAATAACAATATCTAGCATCAGGTCTAATAACTACAGTGATTTCAAAGTAATGGTGAATGTAAATGATATTTCTGAGATATCACCAAGAACTGTAATGTGATATGAAAATACCTATAATTTCTATTGGTGACAAAACCACAGGTTCTGCTAATACTATTGCAGTTTGTTACTTTCATTTATAATGAAAGGAAATGGTAAATTTCAGTTAGAGTTTGGTGAAAGTAAAGATGTAATTTTTTTCTCCATCCAAGTTTGTGGACCCCTTGAATTGTATCCATGGACTGCTAGGTTAAGAACTTGTGGGCTAGATTTAAAAAGACTTAAGAGATTTGACAACCAAATACAATACATTGTGACTTAATAGATTCTGTTTTGAAAAAAACAAGCACACAAACAAAAATATTTTGGGGAACAAGTGAGGAAATTTGGAGTGGGTATTATGTGATTTTAGGGAATTATTGTTATTGTTTTGGGTGTGATAATGGTATTGTGTCATGCAGGAGGATGCCTTTCTATTTTGAAAGTATGATGTCTTCACACACATACATACATGCATGATACACTCATACATTATATTTATAAATAATGCAAATATGAGAAAATGTTCACAATTATTTAATTGAGGTGATCTATAATGTATTATTATTTCTACTTTTCTGTACGTTTGAAATTTTCATAATAAAATCTAAGAAGTGACTTTTAAAACTTTTTATTGAGGTGTAATGTAAATATGATAAAGTTCATTACTCATAAGTGTACAGCTTGATGAATTTTTACATATGGAACACCCGTGTAAACACACCAGACCAAGCTATAGAACATTTCTAGCACCCCAAAGTACCTTAGTGCCCCTTCCCAATCAATTTCCCCTTCCACCCCAGTTAACTACTATCCTGATTTTTAACACCATTGATAAAGCATATACTCTTTTGTGTTTGGCTTCTTTTGTGCAACATGGCTTTCTGTTATATTAAAACAAGTTTTCACAGAGTGATAATTCCATGTTTGACAAGGATGTGGGAAAATAAGCCTTCTCTTAAATTACTGGTTGAAATGTGAATTGATGAAGTCTCACATAAGGCCGTTTAAAATGCCCATGTCCTTTGACCTAAAAAAATAAAAGGAATGTGCACAAACATTTTGGCTCAAAGACATAGGTTTGTAACAACAAAAAATTGTAAGCAACCTAGTTATTCTACATCTTTGGTCCTAAAAAATAAAAGCAATGTGCACAAATATTTTGGCTCAAAGACATAGGTTTCTAATAACACAAAATTGAAAGCAACCTGTCTAGGAACAGAAGCCAGGTTAGATAAATTATGGTATATTTATACTATCGTATGTCAAGAGCAATTAAAAATGAGATAGACCTATATGTAATCTGAATGATATCTTGGCCATGTCATTAAATTTTTAAAAAAAGGCAGACAATACGTACAGTCCATTTGTGGTAAAAGAAAGAAACAATAGAAAGGGGGCAGAGAAAAATGCACACCACAAATGGTGGGGAGGTATATGGGACGGGGGATAAAAAGGTTCCTCAAGTTTCCTCCTGTATTTCATATTTCTGAATTGCTGCATTATGAACAACCCAAATATTTAACCTGTGTAATTATAATATAAAGGCAAAAAAATTAATGTAAATTCAGAAATAACAAAGGACGGTGCTAGGATAAAGACACTGCAAGGACATCAAAACAACTGGAAGGGTTACTTTTGTGGGTGGAACTGGGCAGATGAAGGATGGATGTGGAAAAGAGACTTTCAATACGTTCATTTTTATAGCTTTAAAATTTTGAATTAAAAAGCATGCATGTATCTTGTATTCAAAAAATAATTTTTTTTAAGTGCATGGGGCAGTTTCGATGTGGGTAGGGTCACAAAGAGGACCTTCCCCCTTTTATCTCTGAGGAGTAGAGATAAGTTGGTATGTATCCAGCTGGATTCTTTGTGGGCTTCTGTGGTCAAAGAAAGGGTTGTATTAAAAAGAGAATTAAGGGCCGACCCCGGCTCACTCGGGAGACGGCGTTGGGAGCGCCGAGGCCGCGGGTTCGGATCCTAAATAGGGATGGCCGGTGCGCTCACTGGCTGAGCGCAGTGCGGGCGACATCACACCAAGGGTTGCGATCCCCTTACCGGTCAAAAAAAAAAAAAAAAAAAAAGAGAATTAAGAGAGAAATTGGAATCAGATAAACAGAAGGGTCTGGAATTGGTGCAAAGCACATTCGGGAGTGGGTTTGTGTAGGATCTGTAGGCAGGCTGGGGACTGTTTGTGGAAGGACTTGAATACCAGGCTAAGGACTTCGGGTTTATCTTGAAGTTAATGTTTACTGAGCACGTAATCACTGTTGGGCATGGCGCTAAGTCATTACATGTAATTCTCACAATAAACCCATGGAAAAGGTGCTATTTCTCAGCTGAGCAAACGAAGGAGTTTTTGAACAGGGCCGGGACTGAAGAAAAAGGGTGGGTGGAGGCGGGAGCCAACAAACGGCCATCATGAGCTTGCTGAACAACGACGCCTCCAGACGCGGACTCCGTTTCCATCCCCTGTGGCCAGACTGCCGCCACAAGGGTATGGAACGCTTTTTTTTAGGAAGCTTTCCTACGCAGAAACTACTCGAGGTGCTATTGAATTTAGGCTGCAGAGGCAGCCCTATTCCCTCAGGTTACTTCAACGCGCACATCTTTGTGGCTTTATTTTGCCTATGGGACTCCACAACTGGGCCTTTCCCATTCTTTCATGGCCAGTGATTCACCACCTCCTTTCTCCCCACCCCCAGCCCCGCCTTAAAAACACACAAAATGAAATCCGGGCTTTAACAATCCCCCGCGACCGTGCTGTGAGGTCTGCAGGCGCTGGCGAATCCGGCCCGGGATGTAGAGCTGGCGGTTCCTTGACGGCGCGTCTGACGCGGAGTTGGGTGGGGTAGAGGGTAGGGGGCGGTAGTCGGGGGTGGTGGGAGAAGGAGGAGGCGGCGAATCACTTATAAATGGCGCCGAAGCAGGACCCGAAGCCTAAATTCCAGGAGGGTGAGTCTACGCCCTTGGGATAAAGGCACCTAACGGCGCCGGGACGGTGGCGGGCTCAGGATGGTTGAGGTTTGGGGTCCGGGGGCGGCGCGGGCTGTGCCCTGAGAAGGCGGCGGGTAGTGCTTTGTGTGGGGAGAGCGCACTGCGGAGGATAATTCCGATGCGTCATAGGGCGAGAGCGCTTTGTGAGGTGAGAGCGTTATTACGCGGGCATTTTAGTGGGAGAGGGAGCGCTTGGCGCGTGGCAAAGCCCTCGCCTAGTGTTTGTTATTGTTCTGAGGAAGAGGGTGCGGAGACAGCATCGTATTGTAGGGAGGCGGCGGGTACGCCATGGCGGCGGCTAGAGGAAGTGATGTGGCGTGGGGGAGGGGCAAGGGTAGACGGCAGTGAGGATGTTGTCCTGGAACCAGGTAGAGAAAGAAGTAGGCATCCCAGTTGAAGGAGAACCAGGAGTCTGATTTAAAAGAAGGCATAACTCCCTGCATGAAACATTGGCAGTTCTTATAAGTAAATTTAAGGCATCCATCCAGTTTTTTCAACTCTTGCCATCTTCTTAAGCCTTCCTTTAATGTTTCTATAGTAATTAATTGTATTTTAGTTCTACATAACCTGTATATTATTTATGAACAACAAATATCTAAGTATTTACAGTCAGGGTAGCATATTTGGCATTTTGATTTTGTTATCATTTTCCTATAACAGAGACCCCCGCCGCGGAGTCGGCCAACGGCTGGCCGTCTGGGGCTGCCCGGAGCCCCGGGGTGGTCGCGTTTGGGGGAGACGCAGAGCTGCGGACGGGGGGTGGGGTGGGTGGGCTTCGCGCCCCAGGGCGGGAGAACTGCGTTGTAAAATGGCCGTTGCAAGATGGCCGCGCCTTCATGGCCGCCGGCGTCTCGGCCGCGGTGTGCGGGCGCGGCTTCAGGGCAGATGCAGCGCCCCCTTCCACGACGACCGCGCGGAAACCGGTGCCCTGCGCTTACCTCAGAATGGTGGGTGGGGACGGGAAAAAAGGATGAGTGTTTTCATCATCTTTGTGTTGCCTGAAGCAATCACTTTGCTGTCCAAACAGCGGAGTGCAAAGATTCTACGGTGAGTTCGCTCTCGCGGGGCGGTAGCTCGTAAAAAGTAACAACGATTTTAATGCAGTGTTTCGGCGTTTCCATTTCTAAGTCCCAGTGTCTTGGCGTCATCTTTTGAATGCAGTAGTTGTTTTGACTAGTTGCAGTAGTGTTTGATTAGCAATGATTTGCAAGTTAATTTTTACTAGTTGATTGACAAGGAGTTTGGGTTTACGTTAGAAAGACAGCTTTCAGTGCTCACAGTCAATGCATTTATTAACGTATACTAAGTGGAGGTCAAATAGCTAAAAAGGTAAAATGCTGTAGGCAAGAGGGAACCTTTAAAATTCCCTTTCATGGCTATCGATGTATGTGCTGGTTACCATAAATGTAATCTCCACACGTCTGCTTAACTTTTTTAGGGAATTTCAAATTTTAAATGTGCGTTAGAATTACTCTTAGACTCATAAACCCAAACCCCAAGTGTATCGTAACTTTATGGGATAATTAAGGGGTTTCTAGGGGTATTGTTGGTAATGAGTGACTCTTAATACCTGCTTTCTCTTACCTTTAGAAGCCGTGACTCTGCCTCCTTTGGATTCATTATTTTATTAGGTGTTTCCAGCAGGTATTCTTAATCTAGAGGCAGTGTATAAAATTCAGAGGGTCCGTGAACTTGAACGGGGAAAAATATTTTTTTCTATCTGACTGAAATTTAGGATTTCAGTTATAAATATAATCCCTCTTCCCCCACCCCACAAAAAAACCCACAGTCGTATTAGCAGAATATTTTCATATCCCAGTGTTACAGTTGTGGGAAATATTTCCACTATCATTTATGTTCCTCATTACTTCAAAATGATGGTGGTTATTGGATCAGCAGCTGAACTTTGTTTACTACATCAAATGAGGAGCTCCTATAATATAGAACATGATGTTTAAAATGTTTTTATACTATTTCAAACAGTTGGTTTCCTTTGTAATACTGTTTTATGTATTTATTAAAACGTTTTAGGAAGTGGTTCATAGGCTTCGCCAGTGTCAAGGCACAAAAGGTTAATCCCAGCTGTAGAACAGTCAAGATGGCTGCTGTGGATGAAGTACTTTAGTTCTAAACTAGAGAGATGGTAGAATAACAGCAAACGAAAATATTTGTGCTGTCACAGTGGTGTTACTGAAGAGTAGGTGTCAGGGTACCCCAAGGTAAGGTTTTGAAAGTTTATGTAAGAGTCTCTTACCATCACTTTCTAGGTGTGTTTTCTTGTGTTTCAAAAATGAGTCGTATAACCATCTTTTAAAAAATGTGTTAGACATTTGTAACATATCTTGTAAGGAGAAAGGAAAATTCATTTAGTGCTGACAGAATTATCTTGAAACACTAGGAGTGTTTATGTAATGGTGGAAATATGAATGACCAGAAATAGCGGGGTTTTTTCCCCCCACGATTCTTGTAAACGCAGAAGTTTTTCTCATTTAATAATGGTATAAGTTCTTACTTTTTTTTCTCTTTTTGGCGGCTGGCTGGTTCAGGGATCTGAACCCTTGACCTTGGTGTTATCAACATCGTACTCTAACCAACAGCTAATTGGCCAGCCCTATATGTTCTATAAGCATTTTTAAGCACAGTGACTGCTTTGCACTGGACTTGATCTACCACTTAATTTTGTTAAAGCATTGAGTAAAGAAAATTTTTGAGTATCTAGCCCATTGAGAGACTGGCTGATGCTGGCCTTTGGGTGATGTTCCTAGTAAGTACAATGAGAGGATGAGGAACAGGAATCTCATTAACCTTTGTAGTTTGATATGAGAAAAAGGATTAAGGGTGAAGAAAGGTATAAGAAACCATATTGATGTGGTTTGCTGTTTCCCCAATTACTAATCTTTCTGTCCACTTCCATGAAAAGTCAGCATTTGTTATCCTGGGTCATACTGCTCAGCTAGCTTTATATTTTTCAACATAATACTAGGGCCAGGTAGTTAGAATGGAGGGTAAGGGGTCTGAACCTCGGTGTAATTGTTTTTGGCGGCAGCAGCGAAGAAAAAAAAAAAAAAAGTAGGCCATTTTCAGAGTGCCTTTAAAATGTGCCTGGATGGTGAAATTAGGGAGACACAGGTCTGGTCTTTGGTGCTGCTGTTCATTGGCAGTATAGTTTACTCATTTTGGTTCTTGTCCCTGGGCTGTTGGGGAAGTCTTTAGCCTTTCAATTTCCAATCTCCACTTTAATTTAAGCTTTGAATGAGCCCAGCGGCTTCTAGCAGTGATTCTTTAGAGTGGACCACTGCATGAGAATTATATAGAGAACTTGGATTTAAAAGTAAAGTTACTGGGTCCTGCTCTGGGAGATTTTAATAATACAGGTCTCTGGTGAATCTTGCAAATACTTGGTTTTAAAAAAGACTTCAAGGGATTCTTGGTCAAATTTAGGAATCCTTTTGTGCAGGATAAAGCCCAGACTTGATAAGGTGATATATATATGGCATTCCATGATCTGTGTGACTTTCATTCCTACTTTTACTGTGCTCCAGTCACAGTGAACTAGTTAAATAGTTCTCTAATGGTGTTACCCTTTCTCATGCTTCTGTGCTTTTGTACAAGCTGTTTCCCTCTGCCTGGGTCCTTCCTTTCCTGTGACCTTCCCACCTAGCTCATCAGTGACTCTCTTCATTGCTTATGAAGACAGTTACAGTATGAAATCCAGGAAATTGTTCAAATCTGACAGTTTATGGCACAGTCAGGCATACAAAAGATACTGGGTAAATACTTGTATGTTGAGAAATGAATATGCAGATTTTGCTGTGGAATAGCTATTTCAAGTTGAAGGTATGTAAGTTATGGTCAGTTTGAAAACTATGTTTTAAATGCTGCGGTAATTTAAAAAAAAAAAAGGTGAAACCCATATTGCTCAATAGTTGCTTCAGAACTGAACTAGTAGGCTATTTTAGTTTAATTTTAGAGCTAAAAAGCTAACCCTGTTGGAGACTTTTGTTACCTCTGGGTCTCCTGAAACCAAGTGGGTTGTGAAAATAATGTGCAAGAAATCTTCCTACTATAATCAAATGTAATGTGTGGTATTGCCAGGAATTGCCTGCCTGATTTGTCTAATGAGCAGAAATGGCTTCCAAGTCTTATTCCATCCAGCCCCTGACATTTCTAGTATTGCAGGTTCTGATGTTAGGCTCAATTAACAGTGTAAGTTCCAAACGTTAGGATTTTTTGTCTTTTTTTGTTGTTGTTGTTCGTTGAAACAGCCCAGCACCCAGAATATCATTGAACACATTTGAGGAATGAACATAATGGGACACCTTAAAAAAAAAAAAAAGTCCAGCCATCTGTGGTGCACATTGAAATTTTAATGTATAAGATATTTTACTCAAAGGGTTGGAAACAGATATAGGTGGAGGGGTACGGTCCTAAACTTAGGAAAACACATGGGGAAAAGTGTTAAAAAAAAAAAAAAAATGTACTCCCAAATATACAGTTAACATCAACCAACCAGCCTTGCCAATAGGTACCTGCAGTAGATTTTATTTGTTTAGCAGGTGATACATGATTTGATGATTTTAATAGATCATTCTAATAACATTTTTTGTTTACATCTTTTGTTGTTTTTGTTGTAGGATATGGTTGAAGTTGTTGCTGCATATATAACCTTACCCATTTTTCCTAATCTTGCTAGTAATATCATAATACAAGTATGTGGCTCTCTGTGATGTTAATCTTTTTATATATGAAGAGGAATTACAGTTAATCTAGTACTTTTTTACTTTTACAGGTGAGCGAGTGCTATGCTTTCATGGGCCTCTTCTTTATGAAGCAAAGGTATGAAGCCTGTTTTCTTTTGAGAAGTTGGCCACAGCTGGTTAGGTCTGACTTTTAAATATCAAATTTCAGTGTTTTGTTGTTGATGCTTCAGTAAGAGAGTTGTGTTTTCTGTAAGTTCATATTCATGGTTCATAGATTTCCTCATCTCTTTCTGTGTTTCTTACTGCTTGCTTAGTGGGTCAAATAAATTAAAACATTGCTGCTTTCTTCTGACCTTTCTTACTGACCTGCTAATGGCCCAGTAGTTGGAAGTAGCATTTGAGGGAAATGATAGAAGATGATTGATTGTGGGAGTAACATTTTATAGTTTATAACTTGTGAGAAAACACTGCCAAAAGTTACTTTTATATGCAGATATAATATGCCGAGTAAACATTGAGTTAATTATATCAGATTAAAGGTAAAAGCTAATATTAAAAATGAGTACATTTAATTTTTGATTATTTGTTGGTTTGTCTGGCAAAGTTGAATTTCCTCTGTCAGTAAAGTGATTTTACATTTAGCTAAAGATAAACAGGATAATGGATTCCAAAGTCAAAAATATTTTTAGTATTTTGTTTTTAACTTTTTGCTTAAATATTTAAGACTTGACTATACTTTTAACAGTTGTAGTTTTTAAAAAATGAACATGTTATAAAATACAAAGCAGTATAATGTTTATTTTAAGGGCAATTTCTGCATAAATTCTTGAGTAGTTTATGTATCTGTGTAAAATAGCATTCACTGTAAGGTGTCAGTTCCAACTAAATAATAACCTTTTACACTACTTTTTGCTTGTGTTTTGAATACAAAGATGTGTTTTTAAAGTTCTTAAATGGCTGAATTTGGATTTATGGAGATGGCTGGGAACTTTTAAGTGAATGTAAATGTACATTTATCTTAATGATATAATATTTACACAGTTTAAAAGTGTTACTATTAATGTCTTTTTGATATTTATGTCACTGAATATTATTTTTGACAAACTGTACTATACTGGTTGGTTTTTCTCCTCTGGCAGCAAAACACTCCAGTGGACAATTTCTTAAATGGCTATTAAAATAAACTATTGTGTGTTTTTTGGTTTGCTTCTGATAAAGTTCAAAACCAAATAGTCATTACTTTCACACACAGTTAATGACTTTCCTCTAATAATTCATTTTGTTTGTTTGGTTTGCTTTGCTAGTTATTAAGGCTGATTCTTCTGAAACAAATCAGCTTATTACCTTTCATATGCTAATGAAGGTCTTAAATACTTTTAAACTTGGAATTTGGTTTAGAAATAAATGTAGCTGCAGGCTAGTTACTAAACTTTGAGAAAGTACAAACATAACTTTTATTAGCTGTCCTCGGATAACTTACTTAGCTCATTGTTGTAAGGTTTATGGTGACCTTTTAGAGAGTCACATTTTGTTATGTTCATTTTGGTCACCAAAAATATTTCTAAGTGAAATCTTTTCTTTTTTATTTCAGTGTGTAAAGGTTGCCATAAAGGACAAACAAGTGAAATACTTTATACATTACAGTGGTTGGAATAAAAAGTGAGTATTAAATCTTTAAAAGCAATTTTTATTTACAATTAACAAGGTATCTTGTGTCACTGACTGGCACAAGCATGTGCTGCTTAACGATTGTGCAGTTTTAATACGATGTACATATTGAAGCAAGCATGAACCATTTGTATGTTGAAATTGTAGAAATTAGGGTACTCAGCCATTTTATTTTAAATGTACTTGATTCTTGGGAGTATTTCTTATGTTCTAGTATATGTCTTAATAGTCATTTAATTAACCAACTATCCTAGTTGAATGATGAGTGGTAGATAAGCATGCTTCTGGTATTGGTACATTTTAGGATGGCCAGAATTTTTTGGCCTTCATACAAACTCAGTGATTGTGTATGTTACTTCAAGCAGTTATACTAAAAATTTTGTTGGGCTTTTCTACCTAGAAAAGGATAAAGATTACCTGATTTGACAGTAACGATAGAATTTAACCCATTTTCTGAACTTTGGAAACACAGTGTTGACAGAATGTGATTTTAGGTTGCTTACTTTTTAGCATATGGTTTAACACAGATACAGAAATTCATTAATTTTCCACAATCAAGAGTTAAGCTTTTTTTTCTTTTTTTTTTTTAAGCAGTGGTGTATTGATCTGTTCCCAGGAATGGACAGTGGGTATAGATTGAGTACATTCTAGAATATCCAGCCAGAAGAGCTCTTAGTGATGGGGCTTTTCTCCTTGGGGCCCACAAGTAACCCCGTCTAATAACTCCTAGGCCTCCTTTTTGGAGCCTGTAATTGAATGGCTTGTAATTACTACTAGGAGAGGTGTTAAATTTTACTAGTGATGTTTTCTCCTTCAAAGATAGCACTGCAGTAAGTGTAGTTCTTTAGGGGTTGCTTTCTAGTAACTTGAGCATTGTGTCACCTGACCCAGGGTCTGGTACCTGGTGCATTGGAGCAATACCATCCAATTTGATGAGTACTCTATTGATATAGAAGGAAGGTTTTTTTTTTTTTTAAATGAAGTTCACTGGCCCTGTGACTTCGGTCTTGTTTCATGCAGTTCCCTATTCAGGTGGCCAACCCAGTTAATTTTCTTTGCTAGGAAATTTTTTTCACATGTCAAATGCTTTTAGCTAAGAAAAAATATTAGACTTTTAACTTTCTCTCCCATCATAATTAGTGGAAAGGTGGAAGTAATTGAAGTTTTTCTAATAATGATAGGTAATATCAGTACCTCAAAGTGACCTGGGCTTGTATTTTAAATGTTGAGAGATTGGGAAAATAATGAAGAAAACTGTCTTTTGGTCTTTTAGAAGTAAACTATTTATGATTTTAAATATGATTTTAATATTAATGCAAAGTTGATTCCAGTGTTCAGGAAACAGGAAAGATTAGCTTGTGGCTCATAGTGTATTTCATACTTTTCCATATTAAAAGTTGAAATGTTCAAACTGCATTTAGTCTTCTTAAGACTTATTTTACGTTATTGATATTCTGCTGATATCCAGATGAAGTCGAGAGTGTTGAGTTATAAGAATCTGTTTTCTACAGGAAATAGAATATTTTATTTATGCATATTATGTGGAAAAGTTATTTTGTATTAAATTACATGTAAACTTGGATAGCTGGCTCAAAGACTGGATTTTAAGTGGCATTTGTAGCTTGTAAGAAATTGTGAAAATACCAGATGCTTGTATTTTCTGACTTTACTGCTTCAAAAAAAAAAAACCCTTTTTTTCTTTAGTGTGTTATAGCTCAGTTACACAAATAAATGGTAGGCTTGTCTGGATTTTATTTTTTGTTCTTAGGTGTCTTAACATTATATATTAGTTACTCCTTTGGAAAATTAAGAAAAATGGCACTAAATATTAGAGATTTTTATTACTATCTTTGTAGGTCTGTTGAGTAATATTAATATATCAAAGATGTCTTTGTTGCTGGTTGACTTGGTATGTAGATAAATATATGTAATTTTGAAGAAATTAATCTTATCATTAAAAGTATCCAGAGAATCCTTTAAATCTGTTTTGAAAAGGGGAGTTCTTTAAATGTCTAGCAAGTGTGTTGTGTTTTTTATTTAATGCTGTGTATAAGTAGTGCCTGTGGATCATTGTGACTGTTGGAATTAGTCACAAACTATCTTTAGAAAATTTTGAAATTTTTTATGCTTGACTTCAAAATTTCTGAGTGTTTTGGCTTTTAGTTATTACCCTAGTAAATGATGTTCCTTTGACTCAGCAAGGATTTTCTGTTCTTTACATATAAAGGAAACTCTAGCAGTGACTTGGTTTTTAGATCAGGGTGCTTATTTAGATACACTTTATATCAGAGATAGAAGGGATTTGTAAGGTTCTAAAGTGGAACCTCGTAGTAATTAAAAATTGGCTAGCTCCCTTTGATTTTGAGGGAATTGGAATAGATATTCAGGAATATTTTTAAAATTGTCTTTTTGAAAATGGTTTGTCGGATACATTATTTTTTAAACATTATACAACAAAATCCCAACCTCCAAGTTGGAATTTCTTAAACTTCTGTTTTATATACTTTTTTCCAAAAGTACAGGTGATAGTAAGGTATTTCTAAGTTTTCAAAACATTACTGGAATTTGTTGACACAGACATTTAAACATTCCATCTGTAAATGAATCTTAATAAAGCTTAAGCTAAATTATGCATCTAGTTACTGAGATTACTTTGTACTATGCTGTCTGTATCAGAAGTGCTGTGAGGCCCAGGCGCTCTGAAAAAACTTTGAAGACACGTGAGGATATTGTAGCCCTTTTTCCTGTTCCTGAAGGAGCTCCCTCAGTACACCACCCCCTCCTGACCTCTAGGTAAATGCATGTTTTAAAGTTTTCTCTAGGAAATCATGATGAGGATTGCTTTTTATTTATTTTTCCTTTTGGCTATATTAAGAGGTCAGAGGTGGGAAGTGATTAAACAAAAGACATTGCCTTGAGAACACACCTAATTGTGTCACTAAAGGAGCTCCATCAGCAGGAGAAAAGACTCACTTTGCTCAAAGAGTCTAGCATTTCCTAAGAAATATCTTGTTTTTGTTTTCCCCTTTGGGAAAAAACACACTACTAGAAATTTTGTTTTAAAGGAGCTTTTTGAAGTGCCAGAATGCCTAAACATCTTAAAAGAGTAGTTTTCCTTTTAATGTTTAGAAAGCCAGCTTTCTGGTCAGCCTTGGAAGTTAGTGTATTCATTTGAAAGTTATTGAAGGTGGAGAATGTTGTAGTCTGATAAACCATTGTAATACTTTAAAATACAAACTTAGCTGAGTAGATCTAGGCGGTGTTTGAGTATTGTGGACTTCCTAGTGTGTTTCTGTGACAAACCTTGAGTGTTCGTTTCTATGTCAGGGAGTCTCAAGCGCTTTACATGTGTTTAATTCTCATAACAATTCTGTGAGATAGGTGTTATTGTTATCCTCACTTTACAGGTGATGAAAACTAAGGCACAGAGAGCTCTGTAACTTATTGCTATTATACGTAGCTCACTAGTCAATTGGTTTTAGTTTTTTAAAAGGTCAGTTTATTGTGGACACCTGTGCTTCCTTTTTGGCAATTAAAAATCTTTAAGGTAATATTTTCATTCTGTAAGGCTAATTACATGGGGACTTAAACGTTAATTGCCATACTCTTAGGCCATTTCTAAAAATGATTTCAGTGATCTGCTTTTCGGACTCTTGCAGTTTAGATTTAAAATGCTGTTTCTGAGAATACGAAGTTTTCCTTCTTTATAGAATAGACTTTTTTTATTGTCCTTTTTGAGACCGGCCACCCTGCGCTCAGCCAGTGAGCGCACCGGCCATCCCTATATAGGATCCGAACCCGCGGCGGGGAGCGCTGCTCTCTCCCGAGTGCGCCACGGGTTCGGCCCTTATAGAGTAGGCTTTTATTAGATTTTCGTTTTAGTTGGGAATGGATTTGTAGTGCCAGGTCATCAGATTACTCAGAGAAATCCAGTCTTATCTCTCAGATCTCTAAAAATTAATTGAAGAACAAAGTCTTGATAGTAATGAAAATATTTTTGAATGATATTTTAACTTTTCTCTTTTTCAGTTGGGATGAATGGGTTCCAGAAAGCAGAGTACTCAAATACGTGGATACCAATCTGCAGAAACAGCGAGAACTTCAAAAAGCCAATCAGTAAGTTTGTTTTGTGAAATGAATATTGAGAAATACCTGTAAATAGATCTTTTTGGATATGGAATGAGCAGTGGAAATCATGTTGGCTGCCTACCTATAAAATGATTCTGAGGACCCTACCCATCAGCTGCTGTGTTACAATTTTGACTTCAGTGATCAGATAAGTTTTTTTCTAGGTAAAGGAAGTAGAATAGCTGTCATTGCTTGAGTCTGTCCTTAGAACCAGGTAGAAAACAGAGCAGAATGTTGTTGGAAACACTGAGATTAGTGAATTCCAAAACAAATGGAATTTTCAATTATATGAGACACAATCTATTATAGTTACTTTTTACTATTTTGATTTTAATTTTTGTAGATGTAGAAGAGCCGAGCTTAAGCCTTTTACATTTTCTTTTTGAATTATTTGTTTGATTTTTGTAAATAGATTGTCTCTTTGTCTGACCTGTTAAAAACTTGGTCCAAGAGTGTGTATAGGCTTGGAATCTTGATCTAAATATAAATTCTTGATGGAATCCAACTGGCACAATTTATTTTTCCACGTAATTACAAATTTTATGATGACTTTCCTGAAATTATTTTTGAAGGGAGCAGTATGCAGAGGGGAAGATGAGAGGGGCTGCCCCTGGGAAGAAGACATCTGGTCTGCAACAGAAAAATGTTGAAGTGTAAGAATCTCTATCTTTGTTTTTAATTTTTGCATACTGTTTTGTAAGTGAAATTCAAATTTAGTACTCATTGTTTTGTTAGACTCATTGAAAATGGAAACTTTGGGACATTATTGAAACTTAAGAAAATGCTGGTGAGAATCCCATTCTTCAGGTATCAGATTGTTAAAGTCATTGAAAATATACATATTCCTTAATTTGAGAGATCATTTTATTCATTCGCACTTGAATATTTTCATTTAGAAGAACAAGCCGTTTTGCTGAGTGGTCACGTGCTTCTTGTCAAAGGAATGAAAGTGACATGCTGTAAAATAGGCTTTATCTAAGAGAAGTTTATATGCTTTTCTTTGAAACCAGTGACATATTTACATTCTGTGGCTCTTGGGCTTACTGGTCTGCCTTTACTCTTAAAAATAAGGTGTTAGTGACGAAAGTAATTAAGCATTTTGAGATATTGGAATCTTTTACTTTTTTTGGTGAGAAGATTGATTTGGCAAGGATTAGGTGTGTTACTATTTGAGGGTGGCTCGTAGCTTTTGTTTAAATAGTAACATATTTCCATGATCTTGTTCTTTGGAGAACTGCTGTGTAGTAGTATTCATTAGGATTTGATAAGATTTAAAGGCATTATCTTTCTCTTTACTGATAAATTCTGTCATATCTTCTATAAAGAGTAATATTTTGGTTTATAACTAGTTCTTCATCACCTTTGTGCTAAAAGTTGGTATAAAAATCTAAGTGGTAGTATGGCTAGAAGTTTTGTGTATTATAAAGTGTTAAGCAGTTTTAAGTACAAAAATAACGGCTGAGTAAGTATATGAAGTAAAGTTTTAAAATTCAAATCAGCTGTCCTTGTACAATGGGAGTCTCTTCAAATTGGCTCCTAAGTCTTTTGAGAGATCCTGTGTCTCGGGTCTTCCTTCCCAAGAGGGTAGGACAGGATATTCCAGGCTCATCTAGTACATTTTCTGCCTCAGACATAGAATCTGATATTTCTCTAAGAGCCCTTCTTTTAGTGGGAAAGGTGGCATTTAAGTACTATAATTCTTTGGTAGACTAGGTGTTCTATTTTAAAATAAAAATATTGAGCAATTAATCTTGGTGGTTTTAAAATTTTTTTCTCATTTTGATTTGAGCTTTTGATGTGATTTGAATGTTCAGTTTTACCCTATTTTATCCTTAGTGTTTGGTAGTTATTCTGTAGCTTACTCTGACTATGTATAAATATAAATTCTTCTGGTTAGAGGGTATCATGAGAACCAGGTTAACCTTCAGTTTGTTGAAATCTTATGTTGGGTGTTTATTATTTCTAAACTAGTAGTGAATGTGTGTGAATTTTGTTGACACTTTGGCCTTAAGGGCTGTGCTTTGGTTTTTCAGTGTTTAGTGAATGATTTTCCCTAAAGAACTTAGGACTGCTGTCATTCTTTGAAGTAAATTGAATCTTAACTTATATTTGACTGTATTATAATAACAGGGCTTAGAAATAGGAATACAAACAAAAGCAGTTTATTGTATGAAACTTGCTGTACAGTTTGAGAAACTAGCTTGCATACTTAATTAATAGTACAAGCAAGAAGGTTGAAGCAATATTTACTATAGGGATTCATCGAAGTATAGTTTATAGACCCCTTACTTTAGATTTGAGATCAGTTGTCAATATTTTTATTTTAATTTTATGGTATAGATCTGAGTGGATAAGGGATTCTTGGTTTCTCTTGGGTTTCTCTTGGTCCCCATGTATTATTGACATGTACAAGTAAAGTTCATCTGATCCAGAAATATTGTCAGTAATAAATACTTGTATTATAGAAGTTAACCTTATAGAGGCAGGGAAAGAACCCATACTTCAGATTGGCCAGATTTTTGTGTTTATGACCAAACAAATTAGAGTTGTAAAATGAACCCCAAGATCTAAATGAATATAGTTAATTAACATTTATAAATATTTGAAGCTGTAGAAAAGTAAAACTCAGAAGTAATCCATAATTAGGGGCTTTGTAAACTGTTTTCCTTGTTTTCTTTGTAAACTATTTTTCCTAGAAATAATTATATAAAAAAGCAAAGTTAGTAATTTACTATTTGGCAGTATATAAAGAGATATAAGTTAAAGTTGCAACTAGAGGTGGTAATCAAGATGGAAATACATCAGCTTTGTCCTGGATATGGGAGAATAGAGTGTGTAGTGTTGAAAAGGAGGGAAAATAGTTTAGAGAAGAAATTAAAGTGAAACAAAGTTTAGACCAGTGAGAGTGGAGTAACAGATTGGTATTTTAGAAATACACAAATCTAAAATTAAAATTAATGTTTTAGGAATCAAAACTAAAGTAACTGGGAAAAATATTTTAACCTTCAAAACTTTTTTTTTTTTGGTGGAACTAATAATGAAATATTCTTAAGCTCTGTCCTTTTAACATGCTCATAATATAACCCTGACAGAAGGAAGTCTACTAAAGTTAGTTTATTTTTCTATTGTGTGGAGGGAGATGTGAATTTAATCAACTGTCAGTAAAAGTCTTTGTGTCCAAATAGGAGACTGTATTTACTTACCTGATTTTATCTAAAGCATTTTCTCCGTGAACTTAACCCTGGGAAAAGAGAATTGACATAAAGGAGGCAGTTTTACTAGAAATAATTATTTTTCTTTTTTTTCCCCTTTCAGGAAAACAAAAAAGAACAAGCAGAAAAGTAAGAATATTAATTAAAATAAAATTAATTTATTTTACCTTTATAACAAGTACATTTTGAATTCAGTTTTATTTTAAAAGCTGTGACATTTTGGAGTAAGCTTATCATGTTCATTGATGGTCTCAAATATGAGCCAGCACTGTTATTAAATAGATAGGTAGGTACATAGTGGTAGGGACCTAACTTTGATAATCTTTTTACAAGCATGGAGGAACTTGTAAACGTTTAGTTATTTTCATCTGCTTTAGTCTTAAAAAATGTTATCTTCTCAGGAGGAGTCATTAATAAATGGAAAATGGTAATACTAAATGTTACCTATATGAAATGTTTGTTAGAGCAGTTCATAAAAGTTTTATTTTTGATAGGACTATGATTCTTTAACTTAGATTCAAGTAACACAGCTATGTAATGGAGAAAGGCAGTGAAAAGAGGTGTGTCAAGAGACTGTTTTCCTTAAGGAGTTTATTTAAGTAACTAAAAAATCCCCTCCCCGGCACAAATTTTTATAGCACCTGGAAATGGAGATGGTGGCAGTACCAGTGAGACACCTCAGCCTCCTCGGAAGAAAAGGGCCCGGGTAGATCCTACTGTTGAAAATGTGAGTTTTTGTTAAAGTTTTTGAATAGCTTGTTAGAAGTTTTAGTCTCAGTCATGTTATAACACAACACAGCATAGTCAGCTCTCTGTATCCATGGGTTTTGTACTCTTGGGTTCAACCAACCATGGATTGAAAATATTTGAAAAAAAAAAAATTGCATCTGTACTGAACATGTGCAGACTTTCTTCTTGTCTTTTCTTAAACAATACAGCATAACTATTTACATAGCATTTATGTTGTATTAGGTATTATTAGTAATCTAGAGATGATTTAGAGAATATGGGAGGATGTGTATAGCTTATATGCAAATACTAGATCAGAGACTTTAGGCATCTGTGGATTTTGGTATCTGAGGGTGGTCCTGGAACCAATCCCCTGTGGATACAGAGGGATGACTGTAATTATAGAACTTTGATTCTCAAAAGTATTGCTAACATGGTAAACTACTGAAATTAAAAATTTTCTTGTTTTGTAGGTAAAGGATATATTTGTGTACATCTTTATTTAACCTGTAGTTCTAGATTATTTCCCCCCAAGTTGTCATCAGATGTAGTTCTTTTTTGGGGGCGGGGGGGTGTAAGCTCTGTGTTCACATACAAGACTAAATATTTCCTTGGTGTTAGACTGGATAGGCTTATTAGGTCATATTAAATGGTTTATTAAATTTCAAGATGGTTTAATAAACCCATAAAAAATACCATGAAAGCATTAGTTCCATATGTGTGGGTATAATAGTTTAGAATTCTTATAACTGATAAGGTGTCTTATTTCTAATTTATTGTTACAGTTTCCAAAGTTATGAACTTGAAAATAGGGTTTTCATCTTTAACTGACATAATTTACATTTCTGAAGCTGAAGTTACAAAGCAATGGTGTCAATTGACACTCAAACAACTCAGGGGTTAGGGGCATTCATTCCCTGCCCTACCCACACCATGTAGTTGAAAATTTGAGCCTACTATTGACTGGAAGCCCTACTGATAACATGAAGTTGATTAACACATATTTTTTGTTATTTATTATATACAGTATTCTTACAATAAAGCTAGAGAAAAGAAAATGTTAAGAAAATCATGAGGAAGAGAAAATGCATTTGTAGTACTGTACATATGTTTATTGAAAAAATCTGCATATAAGTGGACTCATGCAGTTCATACCCATGTTAAAGGGTCATGAGTACTTATAAGCAGTGGTACATTCTGAAAAATAGGCACTTCTGGGCAGTTTTTGAAGACTTCATAGAAATCAGTATGTTTAATTTTTATGAATTAAAGATGTGTCTTTAAAATAGTCATGTTTGGGATAGTCATTTGGATATCAGCAATAAATATGAAAATACTAAATTAAAATGTATGAAGTCAGGGTATTCCATTTCCAGAAGAGGAGGAAATTTACTAAAGAATTTTTGCTTTCACTTGAAAACGTGCTATATAGACTACAGTAGTTTAAGGTCAGATTCTTTTCTCCCAGTTGCTAGCTTTATGGTTTTTTTCATTTATGATTTTTAAAATGATAATTCTGGCTGTAGGCTTGATTACTTGAAGGAATTAATTCATACCTAGTGCCTCTGAAGATTAAAAAAAAAAAAAAAAACCCGTGTTTTAGAGTTGCTATTCAGCAAGAAAAGATAGGTTTTTTTATATCCTTCCTTTTTCTGTTTAGGAGGAAACATTCATGAACAGAGTCGAAGTTAAAGTAAAGATTCCTGAAGAGCTAAAACCATGGCTTGTTGATGACTGGGACTTAATTACCAGGCAAAAACAGGTAACTTGAAAGCCACATAAATTGTAAGCTATGTGATATGGCTAGCGGCCCCCCCCCCCCCCCCTTTTTTTTTTTTTTAAAGGAAAGTATTGTATATATAGATGTGAATTTTTAGGGTATAACTTATCAATAATATTTTAATTCAGAGACTGGACTGAACAGTTACCATCAGAAAAAAATAGAGTACATATGTAAATTTCATGAATTTAGAATGATAAAAAGGGGAGATTGCTTAGGGCAAGAACTCATTTTGAAAATTGATAAAGGCAAACAAACGTGTTTACTGTCTTACTATCATTGAAAATGGAGCATCCACACGTATGTCGCTGCTAATGGTATGCAATAGAAAGCACAGAACACCAACTGCAAGAGATTCAAGGCCTCTAAAAGAACCTGAATCTGACTAAGCTCCTAGGTCTCATCACAGGAAATAGGGATGCTTAATAGAGGAATATGTTGAACATCACAAGCGTTTGAAATCATCAAAATCCAGAATGAGGAATTCTGTAGGACAAATGAAGCAATTTCTTAAATGGCAGGGGTAGTGGGGGAAGAGTAGGGACTATCTGAGGGTTATGAGATTTAAGATGCATATCAGTCATATATGATATGTGGACATACTTTGAATCCTGATTCAAATCATTTGGTGGATTATGCAATCACAGCTAAACTGCCTGGATTCAAGCCATGGCTCTACCACTTACTGTGAACTTGGACTAATCTCTCAGCTTTTTTGTGCTTTAGATGTGTGAGGATGAAAAGAGATAATAATGTTAATTCTTTGTCTGGGTCTGGCATATAATATGCATATGGTAAATGATGGCTTAATATCATGAGTTCAACAGATTGCCAGTCTTCATTGCTGTGCTATCTGATATGGAAGCCACCAGTCACATTTGGCTGTTTAATTGAAATAAAATATAGTTAAATTTTATTATCTTATGTTTTCAGTGCTGAAATAGTGCCTGATCCTACTTGTAATACTATTAGGTGATCTTTTATTGCATTAAAGATTCTCCAGTGTAATTTTACTTTAAAAAAGAGAAAACTTGTATTCAATGTGTTTTTGTTTTCATAGCTCTTTTATCTTCCTGCCAAGAAGAATGTGGACTCCATTCTAGAGGATTATGCAAACTACAAGAAATCTCGAGGAAACACAGATAATAAGTAATAATATATGCCTTCCGAGTGTACCCAAAGATATTTTTAAGTATTCTTATTTCCAAATAAATCATGTGAAATTTGTACTTATTCTAATTAATACCATCAGAAACTAGCAAAATAGAGTTTTATTGGTTTGATGCAGGGGTTGGCTGGCATGCTTTTCCTTAAAGGCCCAGATAGTATGTACTTTAGGCAAAATTGAAGCTGCTATGATAGGTACTTACATAACCATTTAAAATGTAAAAACCATCTTGTGGGCTGTGATTTGCTAAATTCTGGTTAAGAGTATATATATATATATATATATTTTTTTTTTTTTTTTAAGATGACCGGTAAGGGGATCTTAACCCTTGACTTGGTGTTGTCAGCACCACGCTTACCCAGTGAGCAAACCGGCCATCCCTATATGGGATCCGAACCCGTGGCCTTGGTGTTATCAGCACCGCACTCTCCCGAGTGAGCCACAGGCCGGCCCCTGGTTAAGTATATTTTGAAATTGATTTCACATATCCTCGTTAAATCTCTTTTCTAAAAAAACTCAGCAGTGGTTCGTTGTCATTAGTTCTACCTTTAATTCCTTACCCTCTTGTTGGGTGACTTACTCCCATTCTCAGTTCCTTTTAGTGACCAGTTTTGAAAGTAAGTATTTTTGTTTGTTTATTAGGGAGTATGCTGTTAATGAAGTGTCAGCACCACGCCCACCCAGTGAGCAACCGGCCATCCCTATATGGGATCCGAACCCGTGGCCTTGGTGTTATCAGCACCGCACTCTCCCGAGTGAGCCACAGGCCGGCCCCTGGTTAAGTATATTTTGAAATTGATTTCACATATCCTCGTTAAATCTCTTTTCTAAAAAAACTCAGCAGTGGTTCGTTGTCATTAGTTCTACCTTTAATTCCTTACCCTCTTGTTGGGTGACTTACTCCCATTCTCAGTTCCTTTTAGTGACCAGTTTTGAAAGTAAGTATTTTTGTTTGTTTATTAGGGAGTATGCTGTTAATGAAGTTGTGGCAGGGATAAAAGAATACTTCAATGTAATGTTGGGCACTCAGCTACTCTACAAATTTGAGAGACCACAGTATGCTGAAATCCTCGCAGATCACCCTGATGCACCCATGTCCCAGGTGTATGGAGCACCACATCTACTGAGATTATTTGGTAATATGCCATTTAGAAATCATGATTTTACTTTTTTTCTTTGGGCCTTTAGTAGTTGAGTTTTAATGAACAAGAGATAAAATAATTTTCTAAAATATGCTCCATTCCAATTTGAACTTTGATCTACAGTTTCTTAGCAAAATCTGCTTAAAAGTCAAGAGTTTTTAAAATCATGGATTTTAAAGGAATTGGTGATAGTTACATTTCATAATTAAAATAACGTGGTTATAGTGCTGCCTTGGATATAAATTTGGCAAAATTTTTTTGTTTAAATAGTACGAATTGGAGCGATGTTGGCCTATACACCCCTGGATGAGAAGAGTCTTGCTTTATTACTGAATTATCTTCATGATTTCCTAAAGTAAGTCTAAATATGCTAGAAATTACAAACATGAATTAGTATAGTATATTGAAAATTTCTGTGTGATAGAGATTGACACTGTAGACACAAAAACATAGTAAAGTTAATAAAATAATTTGGTATTAGTGCGGGTATAGATACATTGTTAATGGAACAGCATAAATAAGTGCGAATGTGTGGGAATCTTTTTTTTTTTTTTTTTTTTTT